CTCAGATTTCTTTCACCATAGGATTCGTAAACAAAATGTCTTGATGATAACAATGCTTATGACGATTATATCGCGGTCTATCTCACGGGTGCTTACAAGGAGGAAACTGTCAAGAACAAAGTTTTGAAATATCTATGTTCAGGGTTATTGGAATGTATTAGAGGCAAACATGCGGTCTACCCTGAAATCAGTTACACGTCGCTGAGTGTATACATAGCAATATTAGCCTATTGTGATTTGAATAAACATAAACATATTATCCAGTGTCAGATCCAGGGGTGGGTGGGTGGCAGCAGTGGTGGTGCAGCGTGGCAAATTCCCCTCTCCTCACGGAAAAAAACCTGTACCCCGTCGTTCGACCAAAAATGTTACTGCAATTTGCCTATCCAAATAACGTTTGCTTACTGCCGATCCCTAATATTGTGGTCTCAAAGCACACTTGAGGCCATAAAAACTCTTCCCAGGAACTCTACCAGGGACTTTTTTCCGGACATGAGGCTCTAGTCAACCCTTTGATTGGCACCACCTGTCAGACACGTCGAATCACCTGTCGGCAAACCTCTGTAGCCATCACTGGGTGGCAGCAGCCAAAAATAAATGAATAAAGCGTGAAATCATTTAGATAAGAGATTAAAATATAAAATGGTGAAGATATGGTAGAATTCAATTACAATTTAAAATATAATATTTTCACTTAAAGGTTTTCCATTCGTGTGCCTACTCATCCTCAGAGTCAAAGATATGTACATGTGCGCCCTCTGTAGGCCCCACTCAATGCGAACCGTTGTGAGCTGATTGGTCTACAGTTGCACAAGTGTTCCATCGCACAAAAGTTGACTCCACTCAACTGTTGGCGTAGAGTAGCGATTACTGCGGCACACGTTCAAATTGACCATTGGTGCCTTAAACGTAGGTGCAGTAAAGCGTTGCTTGCATTTACGTCCGAGCGCGCGTCAACCAGGCTTAAATCATGTGAGTTTTGTCATGACAGTGTACAGTATGGTTAGCAGGCGTAATAAACTATTAAGGGAATGTTAAGCTGTTGCGCAGCTATTGAATCAATGATACATACTTCGTGGCATATAAATTACAATACAGGTAAAAGAAAAAGAGTGGGGGGGGGGGACACCAAACATATAAAAAAGGAAACAAACAAACAAAAAACAATCACATGATCAAATCATTACAGGGACAAGCAGCATAAATTTATGGCTTGATCTAGAAATTTGTATTTAGGGTACAAGCACTACCTTTCCCAACCGTACCCTATCAGCCCAAGCTTCGGCGTCTATTCATTTTTAGTCTTACGATTGCCTTTTTTTGTCCACCCACCAAGTGGTTGGAGTATTTGCTTGCGTTTGCGTAACGCGTCTAAATTGCATGTGTGTGAAACAAGCTTTATTATAGTTTTCGAGCGTGTCAGGTATACCTGCGCATGCGAAGAATTGGAGTACTTGGACGTCGTCGTTTGGGTCGAAGTAGAATGTTCACGTTGTCGTCGCGATGGGATCTCACACATGTCTGAAACATTCTCAACAAAGAAGAAATCAGCTGGGAATTTTTAGTATGAATGGACAAAACTAGGACACTTCTTTTCGTACACAAATAGCTATAAAGGAATGTCAAGAAATAAGGTAAAATGACTACTGATGCACATAATCGATGACGAAAACAACGTTGAACTTTTTGATCGCCAGGCATGAAATGAGCAAGAGAATACTGTACCGCAGTTCTCAATGGCGTATCCAGGATTTTGAAAGGAGAGGGGAATGCGGAATAGAAATATTAGTCTACTGAACTTTCTGCAAGGCACAAAACTAGGGACGCAGAATATCGATGTGGCTATGGATTGTACACCATAAATTGCTGTTAACGTAACTTTTTTGGCATTTACTTTAATTTACTATTATTTTTTAACAAAATGGAGGTGCTCGGGCACCGTGAGCAACCCACCTCACAATGCTGGCTACGTCACTGAGTCTCTCACTATTACCAATAGGGAGCTTTCGACGCGACGCTAGAACGGAATCACTCATGCGTGACCGTCCTACCTGGCGTCCTACGTTCTCGACATACGTTGATTTGGCCAAATTGGGTTCCAGTACCGTACTCGCGCGAATAAGCGCCGCGTTTGAATACACGCCCCTTCTAATTTGAATAAACGCCCCCTCAATAATTCAATCAATTCTGGACTGTGGATGTTGGCATGATTTGAGGTGTGGAATGGAATCACATTTTCCTTTAGTCAATATCAAAATGAGGATATTTATATTGGACAGATGAGAGCTTCCTGGACAGACAGTATATTTCCAACTTTCATCTTCTTACATTTTTCTATAGACTAGTCCTACGTGCTTTTCCGACAATTTGCACCTAACACATTCTGAGTTTTCAAGAAAACCTGCAATGTTCATGCAATCCTGCTAATCTCAATCGGCCGATGGTCAACAAGCTAACCACCACCCCTAATTTCATCTGCTATTCTGCTGTTATGTATGACAAGCCATGCTCTCTGGACGACTATCTTTTACGCCGCACCACCATTCGTAATTTGCGGTTTCTTGATGTCCTTATATAATCATTATTTTTCATTCAAAATGTGCCTCTTGAATTTAAAAATTTTTCATAATAACCCCTCGATATTTCCATAAGCGCCCCCCCCCCAATTTCCACTCTGTTTTGATAAGCGCCCCGTTTGAATAAGCGCCCCTCAAAAAGTGCAAAAAATATTTTAAGCGCCCGGGCGATTATTCGCGCGAGTACGGTATCTACTCAACGAGATGACCTTAACTTTCTCGCATGTGCAGATGACTTTTAGTGACGTCATTACGTTCTACGTCATACCGTCGTCGTGCAATCGAAAGCTCCCTAATGTTGGACTCCATGGCTCCAGTTTATAAACTAGTTTATAGGATCGGAACTTTGATAATAACTGGCGCGCTCTGGTTAGTATCTAGGAGACAGCATCATGCCTCCCAGTGCGACCGGAAACAAAGCGTGTCACGCGACGCGCGCGTTTCATCAACTACCTAGCAACCTAACGCAATACTATGCCAACACTACATGGCAACAGCACACATAAAGTAAACAAACGCTAAAGGGAAAGTACGTACAATTTTAAATGTCTAGAAAAGTGAAATAATTTAACGGATACAATGTACTCAAAAGTTTCTAATATAATTTATGATCATGATGAAACACCATACAAACAACATGGCGATTGCCAAAAAGGTAAGATATAAATGTGTACAGAATTTGAAATATTTCATGTTTCACTAAGACTCTCGCTAAAAAATCAGAAAGGAAAACTACAGAATAAAAGAAAAACAATAACCATGTATGACTAGGCATTGGTCCAATAACAATCAAAATAAAATATCAGAGAAGGTAAATTTGTTTCATGGAAAAAAAAAACGTGAAATAAGTCTGTCTTCCATTATAAAATGTTGAAGTTATAAATTAAAATATAAAAACGTTTAAAACATAGATCGACTTAACGTTAAATGTCTGATGTTATCATCTAGCTACCGTAATACGTTTTTTTTTTGTTTTTTTTTTGTTTTGTTTTTTGGCTCATCAAATGAAAGTATACGAATATCTAGGCCTATTAATTTGAAACCAGGTGAATTTCGATAACTAGACACTCCTGAGACAGAATAATTTACCATAACTATAAGAAACATAATATTTTACGAAAATACGGGACGCTCTATAGTAGCAGTGATGAAGCTTATGATAGTTCATCTACTTAAAAGAACGTGTGTGTCCCTAATGTCTATGAAAACAAGGACAGTTTTCGCCATACAAATCGAATTAAATAAGCATCTCCCTGGAATAAGTGCCATACACATGCTGGCGAGACGAATACACTTGACAAGACCCCATATTTTTCGGGTATCTTGTATTCGAAGTTTCCCTGTTGCCATAATCAAAAATATCCCCTCCCCTCCCATCACTCGGAGGTGCCCTCCATGAATAATTCTCTAAACGGGAAGTAAGCTCTATAAAAATAATTCGAAATCTGGCTTTGAATTGAGTGCATATGGCACTCTATTTGAGTCTAAGTATAAAGAACAACATAGTGCCCTCTATAATTTATATACAAGTACTTTCATAGCCTCGATTTATTCTTACAAAAATGAAGCAAAATGAAAGTCAAGCTATGATAAATACCGAATAGAAATAAATTAATTATCGGTGAGAAATTACTAATTTCAATTTAATTACATATAAAAAGCCATAGTCGCCAAATTTGGACTTCACTTTCAGTAATGTAAAAAAAAACAAAAAATCACATAATTGATAAACAAATAACAAGAGAAATCAAAATGTAATCATTATGCAGATGATAGGACGTATAAACGATGTCGGCTTGCATGCATTACTTTGAACAGTACATAGGCCTGTGCGCCGAAGCATAAAATAAGCCACCTGCACCTTATAAAACTTTGGTTTATTATATTTATAAGTATTTAGTACATACTTTGAGAAGGACCGGTAGAAATATTCGATACGCTTTGATTTTAATACAATCTATAAAGAACCAATCGTTAAATGATTATATTGTTCCCATAAAGATAAACAATAATAGTGCCACTTTAAAGTATATGTATGTAAACTAAATAAAATATAATGATTAATAGTTGAAATTAAGAGACTCTTAGAATTCATTTCAAGTGGAATTAGGTAGTGGTATTGTTTTTATTTTTTTTTTTATAAAGAAATTTATTTGAAGCAAATTTTTGGCATTCCACGTACAGAAGGCATTTTTATGCGTATTCACTGTGACTGAAAGCGCAATTAATAATGTTTTGCGTTGAAATTATAACCGCACATTTGGAAACTTATAACAAATACTTCCTTATGACAATACCATGATATGCGTGCTTGAGTGGAGAAGTATTATAACGTATGGGTGAGAATATGTACAGTGGTTATACGCCTCACCCATGCCCCATTGTTGCGCGCTCATGAGGCATACAGTATCGGACCTGCTCTATACAGACCAGACTTTATTCTTTTGTTAACTTCACTACCTACGTTTCTTGAGCAAGTACACGCTTCGGTAAATCCCTATTGAAATGGAAATGTACTTAATACACTTAGCAAACTGACTGTTTTGAATGCATTGCAGTAGAGCCCACGATCAAATGGAGTTGTAAGGGCAAAACGATTGTCTTTTCGCGGGACTTATTTCATTTTTTTTCATAGTCTACTCTATTTTGGATTTGATAAGCATGATCCTACGTTGTTTGCTCCATAATATGTGAGCCACTGTGCTGAATGGCAAATGGTGGAAATGACATCAGCTAGCGCTTCCGTTAGAGGTAGCCTCGGCTGTTGTGGTCTCCCTGTACTATCATCGCCAGATTCACATCCTCTCAAAGACTTGTTGAGTTGTGAGTCGACCAGCACTCTCGATTCGTTTTCAATTTGTGCAATCTCGGATTTTATATCAATTCACCGGACAATTTTTCTCTTTTACATTCTGTCTCTCGACATCTTCAGTGCCGTGCCACAGTCACCCTGCAGAGGTCCAGACAGTCTCTCACCTGCACTGCAACCCAGTTCCGATGGGGTGTATACTACCCAAGAGGCAAAAGAACTTGGGCCTAGAAGGTGATATAAAAGTATACGATCTACAAGCTCGCATTGACTCACACCCTACATCTTTGATCGAATCTTCTTACACAGTACTGAAGTACCAGACACCCCATTTTAGAGCATCTGCAAAGGTGCGCTTTCCACCAATAAGCGGCAATGACACTTGGCAGGTGGGGTGGGTACAAGGCTGTAGCAATATGGACTTTATGATTACATACGGAAACCTAGGAACGTAAGTACATTCTCAAACTATTTTCTAACAAGTATTCTACAAATAATGACTTACATTATACAATTATTACATATAAAGATGTTATGTCTCACAGTCTATTTCTTTCTATTTAAAAACTGGAGTTGGGCATGGAGCGGTAAATCTGTTAAACAATACCGGTACACTGTCAATAATGCAACGAAATTCAAGCAATTCATAAAAAGTACGTTTGTCTGTATATGACATGTCATATAATGATGGTTAAATTATTATTTTATAATCATAATTCTTGATAGGCTTTTGATGGTTTACAGTTGAATTTGGGGCAGACTAGGCTACTGTAGGTTCCACTTCCGCAATACACTATAAGTAACTGTTGCTGGTTGCCATCAACTTCACTATAATTTCAGATTTATGAACTGTTCCAAGAAGTTTGAGCTTAGTGTTACTTAGGCCTACCATACAGGAAGTATTGTAATGAAAGTTGTACTCAACTTAGCAGTAGATTCGGTTTCTAGTTTTAAATATTTTCCATTTATGTGGACAGGCAACGAAGAACAGGGAAGCGGTAATTGTAACTAACTGTAACTAACAGCTAAATTTCGAAAAGATCACCATATTGCTTTTAATGACGAAGTGCTGTTTTGTCTTCACAACGATATATTTTTTATTTCATCATTTACTCAATATGAAATGTGTATATCTATGTA